GATGTCTTAGCAAAAACAAACGAAAGTACAAGATCATAGTCCCTCGGTGACGCTACAAATGTTGCCTTACGAATGATCTTAGTCCCTTAAAGAAAATGCTAAGATATCTTACAACATTGTTATTCATGACTATACAATGACCCTTGCCCGTCCCTTTTACATCCAAAGATAGAGTTTCTTACTAAATCAATGGTAAGATAGCAATGTCAAAGGAAAGAGGAAATAAACAAGAAAGACTGTTGAGTAGGTAGGATGTTCCTAGTTGCTTGCTCATTTTCAAACCAAAACATCCTTGCTATTTTCAAAACAAACACCAACACTTTCAAAACATATTTCAAACTTGAAATATTTTCAAAAGATCAACACTTTGTATACATTCTTACGAACGAGAATTATTACAAAGTTTTCCTAAACGATGGCGCCTTTTCAAAATACTTTCAAAAACCACACAAAGCACATTTTCAAACAACAGCAAGTGATCTAGCAAGAAACTAAGAGCCCGTAGATAACTACGGATGAAAAGGGTGCTAATACATTCCCTTTTCATAATCTAACCCCCGAACTCAAGAAACATCTCTAAAGGTCTTTCCTGTTCTTTTCAGACTTTCCTTTTGGATAAAAGAAAAGTCGGTGGCGACTCTTGCTAACCGCAATATTTGCGATGAAATGCAAAACAACCAAGTCAGTTCTCCCACCGTGTTACATCACTAATAGTAGGATAATATTGTCTAAAGGAAAGGAGAAAAAGAATAACCTTTTTTCGAGTACAAAGTAGATAGCTGTTAGAAGTTTGCTCAAAACATTTTGCACTTACACAAATACTACTTTTCAAAAATATTTTTCAAAACACTTTGTATACTTTCTCCACTATCCCGAGAAACATTACAAAGTTCGCCGTACTAAGTCATTCTCAAAACATTTTCAAACACGCAAAGCACAAAGGTATTTCAAAATGAGCAAACCTCTAAGAGCCCGTAGATAACTACGGATGGAAAGGGTGCTAACACCTTCCCTTTCCATAATCTACCCCCTTACTCAGAATAATCTCGAAAAGGTCTTTTTCTGTTCTTTTCACCTTTTTCTTAATTTGGATAAAAGAAAAGTCCGTGGCGACTCTTGCTTACCGCAATATTTGCAAACACAAACGCAAAAAACCAGTATTAACAGTCGGTTCTTCCACCGTATCACAACCTGCTTTGACAATTTTTCTTTTTAATGCAATTACATATCCACTTCAACTCGTCTTTCCAATCCTGAGGTGTATGCACAATTTGTATCCAATTAAGCACTTGCAACCAGACTTTACCAGTTTCAGCATATTCGAAAAATAAATTACTACAACTTTCAGGCGCGCCATAGTAGATACGTATTCCATCAGTCGTAGTCCAAAATCACAAAATACGATCTTTAGTCATGAATCTCTCCTTACAGACCATCCACAAGATAAAAGAAGTATATGGTCTTGCATCATTACTGAAGAAGAGTCTCTGTCAATCCACTTTGGGTTTGATGCCCTGAAGCTCCTTATACATTCTCTGTGTAATGTAATTTCCTATTTTGAGGAAATTCTGCCAGCACCCCATCTGTCTCATTAAGGCATTGTGTTCACGCATTGCTTTAATGGTCCAAGAATTATGTGTTGGAGGGATGAAGGTAGAGACATCAACTTTATTAATGTAATACATGTGAACCCACCGAATCCATAACTTGTCCTCTTTAGAACAAACATTACATAACAATTTCCCAATAGTTTTTGTTCCAAGCAACTAGAAAGATCATATTCCTACCTCTAGTTGAAATAGGGTCGCATAATTGATCCCAAGCAATGGGGGCTTTCTTTGAAGGGATATCTTTACCTGTCCAAACAAAAACTCTACAAATTGCTTCAATGTGTTTAAGAGATATTATTTTCTTATAACTCTTTTGTAATATATTGTAATAATTCTTGAAAGTACAATGAATCAGAGAGTTGTTTTCTATTTTATTTGATCGAACTGGGTAAACAAATTAATTTGTGTTCTTGTCTTTTATCTTTCTTTTTCTTATTATCGATTTGCTTGCATTGATGGTAGATTATTTTGATTTCTTGAACCATTTATTTTTGTTTTCATTATTTTTTGTCCCACACATATTTACTCATGAATTTATATTAAGGTTAAATTCAAATGAGACTCAGTGTATTTGAAGTTATCAACAAATTCACTATTATTGTAATAGTTTTCACAACACACATCATTGCCTAAATTATAAGAGTTAATTAGAATAATACTAGTTTTTTTGGTCATAAAAAGTTTAGATATGTTAAACTTTATAGACTCACGGGTCATTAGGATCATTGCTTTCTTTAAGACTCTGGAAGCACTTACAGAAGTATTTACACATTATCCACTAAATATGTGATCACATCAGTAAAAACAATTAAACTTATAAATTTTTAGGTGAGTCAACTTCTTACCAACTGAGACAATTTTAATCAAAAATTAAAATAATACTAGTGGTCTTATTATTTGTTAATATTTTCTACGGGTTCAGGGAGCTGTAATGTACCATGAGATGGTACCACCTTAGTGGTGTACAAGACCAAGGTTGGCTAAACGCTTGAGAACCATCAAATAATAAGGACTGTAATATTATTAGCATTTATCCTCTAAGATATTTGTCTATAAATTTTTTAGGACCATTTAATCCTTAAAATCTGACTATAAAGTCTAATAAACCGTTAAAACTCGAGTACACAATATTCTAAACTCTAAACTTCATATATATAATCGTCATTGATTTTATCATCACAACCTTAAAATCTTAAGTGATAAATAGAAAGAAATCATAGTTTGAGACAATTAAAAACCAAACTTGTAGAATGGTAAAAGTAGAAAAAAGGTCGACGAACGACATCGAAGCCGTAGAAAAGAAAGTTTGGTGGGTGGGCGGAGTTAAAGATGGTTTGTAGTAGAGTTAAACTAGAGTTTGGTCGGTGGAGGCGGCAGAGAACCGACGGGTGACAGGCCTCAGACATCAAGAATGGTTCATGCAACTCACATGAATTAGGCTTGTTCATTTCGATTCATGATTCTATTCATTGATGGATCATGTGTTGGTTATGTTATGGATCAATTGGGTTTCAATAATTGTAAATCTATATCTCAATCACTCTTTCTAAAATAACATTCATAGTGTAGTCTGAAGGACAGAGAGAGGATATGGAAATCATAGGGGAAACTTAGAGAGTCAAAGATAGAAATTTGTATGACTTTGTTCTTGGTATTTGGGAATTCTTTTGAGGTAGTTAGAGGGATTAGGAAACATTTCTAAACACCTTGAGCTTTTGTGATTCATATATAAAGTTTGAGAGATTAGGAAACTCTTGGGTAGAAAATAAAGGTTGTTCTTAAAAAATTGAGATATTATTTTCTTGTAACTCTTCTATTATCTCTTGTAATAATTCTTGAAAGTATAGTGAATCGGCGAACTTCTCTTTTCTCTATAGTAGTTTAGTTTGATCGAACTGGATAAACAAGTTTGTTTATGTTCTTGTCTTTTATATTTCTTTTGCTTATTATGGATTTTCTTACACTGATTGTAGGATACTTTAGTTGCTCGAGGCCAATTATTTATGTTTTCATTGTTCCATGACGAATTTTATAACAAGGTTAAATTCAATGATAGATTGATGTGTTTAGTCCTATTAACAAATTCATTATTATTAGAGTTTTCACAACAAGTGATTTCCACCGTGGGACAAATGAGTTTTGTTTACAAGTAAGTACCATGGCTAGTAAATGAGATATCAAGAAATTTTTTGAAGACAATTTTTTAGATCGTGGAAAGTGAAAACAAAAGCAAGTATAATACAACAAAAGTGTATTGAAGCATTAAAGGATAAAATATCAATGTTTTGATGCCTGGCATAAGTCGAGAAGACTAAGATATTAGATAAGGTTAAGTGTTTCATTATCTTGAACCTCAAGGATAAATTTATAAGGAAAATCGCTAGGAGAAGACTGCGACATCGATATGGGTAAAACTTCAATCATTATACATGACCAAGTCTTTAGCTCACAAATTGTGTTTGAAATAACAACTATATTCATTTTGAATGATAGAGAACAAGTATGTAGTGGTACATTCATAGAAGTTTACAAAATTATTGATGATTTTAAGAATATTGAGGTGAAGATTGATGGTGAGACAAAACCCTAGTCTTATTAAGCTCATTACCCAGATCGTTCGAGAAATTCAAAGATGTCATTCCTTATAATAAATAAGATATTATTATTTTGGAGAAATTCAAGGATGCCATTCCTTATGATGAAGATATTATTACTTTGGATGAAATCTTTGATAAAATAAAATCTAATGAGTAGTTCAAACTAAAGTATATTCTATTCTAAACTCTAAACTTCATGTTTATGATTGTCAATGACTTAGCGTTAAAGTGTTTACTAAAATACCGCCTTCACTAAATATACATATAAAGTTCTGTCGAAACAAAATGAGCATCATCACCATTGTGAACAATACTCGTAGAAAAGTTATATATATATATATATATATATATATATATATATATATATATATATATATATATATATATATATATATATATATATATATATATATATATATATATATATATATATATATATATATAAAAGGTGTAGAAGTGAAAAATCTTACGAGATTAAATCCTAACACTTACTTATTAACCATCCTTGCAAATATGAAGCTAAGTGTACTTACAATACAAACTAATGAAACTAATATTTTATTAATATAGTAAAATGATATAGAAAACTAGATGATGTTATTTTTCTCAACATCGGTTTCAAAATTCAAAGTAGAATAGATTCAAGTAGGACCCACATAAACATCCAGCTATATCCAGTACTACTACTTGACACTCTTTCACAAACATACACACTCCATCTCCTCTCTACATAAACCCCCCAAAACAACATTAAACCATAACTCAATTTTTCTCTCTTCTCTTGTCTTCTATCATGTCCATCACAAACATATCTCAAGCTTCAGCTTCACCTTCAGCTTCAGCTTCACCTTCAGCTTCAGCTTCTCCCACCTCCACCACAAAACCCACCTCCAAGAACCGTGATTCAACATTCCACGGCGTACGAAAACGAACCTGGGGACGCTATGTTTCAGAAATACGACTCCCGGGTCAGAAAACTCGAATATGGCTTGGTTCTTTCCAGACAGCTGAAATGGCGGCGCGTGCTTATGACTCCGCGGCTTTCTTCTTAAGAGGTACCTCGGCTAGCCTTAATTTCCCCGAAGAGGCTGTGTTTTTACCTCGTCCTGATTCTTCTTCTAGGAAAGATATTCAGTCGGCGGCGGCTAAAGCGGCTCATCAACGAAGCCGCCGCCAACAACAACAACAATCTTCTTCTTCTTGTTCCATCGAAACAAAAAACGAAAATGAAAATATTATTATTAATAATGAAAATAATAATAATATTATTAATAATAATAATAGTAGTAATAATAGTGTCGATGAATTTTCTATTGAGATGATGGAGTTTTGGAATCAAGAAGAATGTGCTTCGACGACGTCGTTTTGGGATATGAAAGATGCTCCTTTAATGAGTCCAACAAGGGTGGGGTCCATTTATGGAGATATGATGACATGGAATGAAGTGTTTGATTTCAATGATGACATTTTAGCCATGGCGCATCCATAACAAAACCTCTAATATATTTGTAGTTTCTTTCTTTCTTCTTTTTGTTGTTTTTATCTTGCAATTAGTTGTAAACAAAAAATGTATACTTAAAATGAACACATCAATGTTGTTGTTTATTTAGATTTTTGTACCTATTGTTCTTACTTGCAATAGTAGAATAGTGTTTTAGAAACATTTTAATTTTATTTTTTTTAAATATTTATTTTAAATAATATGTATTTGTTTTAATTTCATAATGAATATGTAAAACTTTCAAAGAACAATTATGATTTTTTTAACCACTTCGTCTCTACGAGATTCGTGATTGAAAGATTTTAGAATGTTATGTCTATTTAGTACAAGTTTCAATTTTGATCACTCAAATATAAAAAAGAGAGAGAATCTACACAAATTATATTATTGAGCTTAACCAAATGTGATCAACATCTAATATATAGCATCTACTACAAGCCATCAAACAAACTTAACAAACCGTAACTAACTATTTGCCCAAAAGGAAACTAGTTAACAAATTTTTGAAACAACTTACTATAAATAGAAAGTTTGTTAAGAAGCTAAAATAAAGCTTTTGATCATTTCTCAAGACTTCATACTTTTACATCATGTCAAGACTTCATACTTTTAACATTCTTCCTCAAGCTTAAGTATGGTAAATATCCAACATACTAAGTTTGGAAACAAAAAAGTTAAATTTGGTTGAAGACAAATGTTTAGTAAGAAAGTCTACCAACGGTTCTTGTGAGGAAATGTGTAGCAATTTCAACATTTCTTGTTGAACATTCTCTCTTACAAAATTACAATCAATTTTAAGATTTTGTTTTGTCCTTTCAAGGAAAATATGATTGAATGTTATATGGAATGTCATTTGATTATAACAATATATAACTAGTGGTTTAGGGCAAGTAATGTGTAGATCCTTAGAAGGTATAAAAGCCGAACCAATTCACAAGTAATTGTACCAAGTATTTGATATCTGGCTTCAGAAGATGATCTTGATATTGTTTGTTGTTTCATTTTTTTGTCAAGATACAAAGAGATGATCTTAGGGAGAAATAATATAATGATGTGGATTTCCTTGAATCAATGCATCCAACCCAATATGCATCTTAATATCATAGGATTTGCAATTTAGAACACCTATGAAAAAGAAAGTTCTTATTAGTATCGTGTTTCAAGTATCTGATTACTATATAGGTTATCTGATAATGTAATTGAGTATGACTTTGAAGAAATTGGATCAATTATTGGGCAGCAAGGGTTATGTTTGTCATTGTGTTGTTTAAGTACAATAGTATCCCGATGAGTCTACTATATGAGATGATGTCTTCAAGAGATTTTCTTTCATCTTGATGCAACTTTATTAAAGGATTTAAAGGTTTTGCAGGAATTTTTAATGTAAGCATTCATGTATCATTTAGCAAATCCAAGCAGTGCTTTATTTGTGAAATAAACATGCCTTCTTTAAAATGTGCCATCTCAAGGCCAAGGAAATACATCAAGATTCGTAGATCCTTGATTTTGAAATTGCTTCCAAGCATGCATATGATGTTTACAAATTCAGACAAATATGTTCATGCTAGTATAATGTCATCAACATATATAAGTAGGATTTTAATTTGGTTGTCTCTTTTAAGGGTGAATATAGAATATTTTAAACTTGATTGAGTATATGCTAACTTTGAGAGTAAGGAAGTGAGGTTCTCATACCACTTTCTTGTAAGTGAGGTTCTTATAAGTTGTTTGCTTCGAACCATCTAAGTTGTGTAGTGTTATATTTGCAAATAATCTTCTCTAGGGCGAAAACTTAAGACTACACTAGGATAAGGCGACGACACGAGGTCGCCCGAAGGGAGGTACTGCCTCTCCCTTAAGTTTTCCTCGTCCAAGGAAGGGAAAACATGGGATAAGACCTGTCTTGGGCAAAAAAAAGTCATAGTTGTTACTGACTCACGTTTCCCTTGAATACATGTGTTGTATCCAAAAATTTGCCCTCCCATTTCTCAAGATTTCTCTTACAAGACCTTCCATGACTCAAGCTTGCAGCACTGATACATCAATTTAGGTTTGGAATTGGCACAAGGGCAAAATGGTCAAAATGCACACTGAAAAGTCAAACTTTGATTTTTTAATCAAAATCAGGTTTCAAGAATCACATTTCATTAAGATATGTTAGAATATGAAGTTGGTTCACCAAGAAAATTAAAAATCAAAATTACTTTGGAAAAGTCAAAGTTCTAAACACTTAGAAACTTTTCTAAGTATAATAAGTTCAGAACTTCTTGTCATATTTTCATCATGATGCAAGATGATTCAGGAAGAACTTATGACACAAGAATTGTAGATCTCAATGAGATATAAAACATTGCAGAACAAAACTTCTCCTAGAAATGCTGGGATTTCAAGTTATAAATATTTGAAGACACGTCTGTGAAACTAAAACACTTAGTAAATTCTGAGTGTTTCCAAGTCAGAATTTGGTTAGAACTTCTAGGCCAGTTTTCACATAGGTACAATCAGAGTTTGCAAAGTTGATTCAAAGAGGGGTTACAAAGCATATTACAAGCTTCCTGAAAAGTCCGATAAATCCTTCAGATCATGCTGGAGCAGGGAGAATCAAGGATCAGAAGTTGGATATTTGTTCTTAATTCAAGTTACGTTTGTGCTAAACTTCTGATCCAATTTCAAGCCAGGCTGCATAATCTCATGTTTCAGGTCTTCTTGCTTGTTAAATATCATCATCATTTAATGCTCACACCCACTTTTGAGTCTTTATCCCAATGTTTAAGCCTTTATCCAAAAGATCTTCCCACGTGTGGCATGAAAGTACCACTGTTGTCCTTGAAAAGCAAACTTTTGTACAAAGTTTATTTTAAACCCATACTTCACTTTGTTTCTGAGTGTACCTCCCCATAAATCATGCCTACTAACTCAGATTAGGTGTGTTTAAAGCTGCTAACCACTCTACTTTGCCTTGAAACATGCTTGTCTAAACTTGCTTCAAAAACAAGTCAACGACTCATAACACATGATGACTGTACTCTTGACTTCTCCAAGCTTCTAAATCCTTCACCTATAAATTAAACTTCATTTGCAAGCTGCGGGAGAATTTGAAAAGATTGAAAAAAAAGCCTTGAAAACCTTGCAGAAAATTTCCCAAGAACCTGAAACTGCAACACAAACACAAAACCTGCTAGTTTTTTATTTTTTGCATCGAAACTCCAATTTTCCTTGAGTGTTTCTTGACCAAATCGTCCATACAAATTCTAGCATACTCGAAGAAGCCTTCCCAACTTCTGTTTTCAAACTGTAATGCAGTCTTCACCATTCTCCATTTCAAAAATCAGAACTATGCATCTTGACTGCTCCAGAGCATTCCAAATCAGCCATAACTCAAGTTAAGGGTTGCTTCAGCTTTCTGAGAAATTGAGGAAGTTGACCACAACATCACAGCAGTCTGAACCAGGCTCTAACTCACCGAACAATCTCTAGCAGCAAGGTAAGTTTCTTCTTATTTTTTATCTCATTACTTAGGCATTGTTAGGCTTGCATTTTCAAAGATACAATGTAGATATCATGGCTCTGAATCTGTACATATTTATAGATTTCATTTATATGGCCTAAGTAGATAGAATTTCAGATCAAAACTTCTTGAGAAAATTAGGGTTCAGAATTAGGATTAGCAAAATTCATGTTTGCTTCTGATTTACAGTTTTAATGATTTGTATTTCTGAAACCATGATGAAATTTGCCATAACTTCTATGTTTGCATTTTCCATTTTTGTCGAGAAATGCCTAAGTTGCAGATACTCTGGCTGGCACGAAGAAGAAAATAAAGTTCATCATCAGAACTTACTTTGTAACATTTGTTTATGTTTTTGTTTCTAATACTGGATGTATAGTCACCCCAGTGGTAGAGAGCGCGCGCATAAAGCATTAGTGTTAAGGGTCCTGGGTTCTAGCCCCAGAAACATCTTTTTATGTTTATTTCTTGACATTTTACCCCATTATTTGTCAAATAATATTCCTGGAACAGAAATTCTAGATAAACCCCTCCATTTGTTTGTCAAAACAACATTCTCGGACCAGAACTTCTAGATATTCTCACCCAACAGCATTGACACCCCACTTACCCATTACCAGAACTTCTAGCCTTCCAGTAACACTAGAACTTCTAGGTTTCCAGTGCATCAGAACTTCTATACTCTCTCAGAAATCAGAACTTCTAGTCTTTCCTTTGTTCTTAGCAACCACAGAACTTTAGCGCGTCTGGATCCAGAACTTCTGGCTTTCCCATTTTCTGCTAACATTTTCTTTCTGATTTGCAGCGCACTAGAGTCAGAACTTCTGCTTTCTCTTACTTCTATTCTTTCAGCAACACGCTGACTCTAACTTTTATTCTCTTATTATTTTTATCATCACTTTTACTTTCATTAATCAAAAACACCAAAAATACTTTATATTCATAAACTTTGCTTCTTTTAAAACAAAAAGACTAAAAATATTTTCTTAAGCAAATTTATTTCTTCTCTCAACAAAAACAAAACAAATCTATTTTACATTTTAATTCTTGTTCAATATTTCAATATGGTTTTAATAGATAATTAGGACTTTAATTTCTTGCAATCCCCATTTGCAAATTTGTACACCCCATTCCCCAAATGATTGTAATAGTGTAGAATATTTACTTTCCGCAATTTATTGCTTTTATATAAATGCTAGTAAAGTAGGATTTGTATGGGAAGATAAAATCAACAAGTAGACAACCCATAATAAAAGACTAAATGTAGGAAAATCGAACACACTTGCACACTTGCATCTCTAGGTTTAACTCCACTTGTTGCCTTATGAAAATGGTCATGTTATGCATGTGAGGTGTCTTAACAAAAACAATAAAAAATACAAGATCATAGTCTCTCGATGACGCTTCTAATGTTGTCTTACAAATGATCTTAGACCCTCAAGAGAAATGCTAAGATATCTCACATTATTGATATCATGAC